GACCTCTTCTCTACAGTAGATGCAAGTAATGACAGTTTAATCAAATGAACATTTTTCGTTTTGTACAATGTCAACGTGTTACATCTGCAATGATTGTTATTGTGTTTGTATCCGCATCATTCCCACAAAGTTCTAGAAGAGTTTTGTCCAGGTCGCAGTCCAGTAGCGGGTAGGAACCGCCCCGTGCACTTCCAAGAGCATAGGCGAGGCGAGGCGCAAATACACCCCTGAAGTTCAAATCTCCTCTAGTAATACAGCGATTAAGCACGAACCTGTGAACACCGTCCGTCTCAACTCGAAAGTGGTCGATGACCTCTCGAACAGTAGTACTGCACGGGAACTCATCTTTGAGCCGTAATTGAGCTCTAAAAAGTTGACTACTACAATGTTTGATCTAGGCAAGCTCAGAAAAAGCTACAAAACCTTCCATTCATATTGCGATGGTACAAAATGAATCGCACTTCGTACATGTATATGCACTCAGCTTCAGAATGGAAGCTTCTACTAATCGAAGGTCCTCTTAACTGCAACAGCTTCAATTAAGACATGCAAAAGATTAGTGTTGGATCAAAACTTACATTATCGCCAGAGTAGGATGGGTAATCAGCCGTGGAGGCAAAACCGGAGTTGGTCGAAAATCCCGCGGATGATTGAGAATCAGAGCGAAGAATTGCTAAATGGGTCTATTTCAAGGGGTGATAATGCGAGGATATTCAACGCTAGAAACCCGCGAGATCTTCGTCCTCTTCGTAAGGGTGCACTTGTACCGAGTACTCATAGAGGAATTTACCGTCTGGTTGCCTTTCACATTTCAGATTACTACTGAGAACTTGCATTTGTCCAAGCATTTTCATCAAAAATGGCGTGACAAGATCTTTTGAGCTGAAAAGATTTAGCATTTTTTATCTCTTCTCAAGCAAGAAAGGAGTGGTGCTCATTTTTGGCGTGAGTGCAAATCAATCAATAATTCAGGGCTATCGGCAGCAAAGCCCATTTTTTAGCAGAAAATTTGTCTGCGACCAATGGCCGTATTCATCAACGAACCCAGTGGGTTCCGGA